CGACGACATCATATTTTGCAGCACCCAGGAGATAAGTGAAGTAACGGAATTTCTAATTACACAACAATCAAAAGATGCAGGTGTTTGTAGGGTGGAAAAGCAGTAGGTCCTTTTTTTTTTCCTTTTTCTTTTCTTTCCCTCTTATAGAGAAACGTATAGTTAAATCGGCTCTAATAGCCACCTGTAGTATAAGACAATCACCTGTGAGTGAGTGTGCGTGTGTATGTGTGTGTGTGTGTATTGGTGTGAGTGTGTGTGTGTTGGTGTGTATGTATGTATGTGTGTGAGTGAGTGAGTGTGTGTGTGTGTGTGTGTCTGTGTGTGTGTGAGTGTGTGTGTGTATGTATGTGTGGTTGTGTGAGTGAGTGTGTGTGTGTTTGTGTGTGTGTGTGCTTGTGTGGTGCAGGGAGGCGAGGATGCAGCCACTTCCCATTTTCCTTCTTCCCTTGGTGTGAGTGAGTGTGTTTGTGTGTGTATGTATGTGAGTGTGTTTGTGTGTGTATGTATGTGTATGTGTGAGTGTGTGAGTATGTGTGTGCGCGGTTGTGTGTGTGTGTGTGTTTGTGTATGTGTGTGTTTGTGTGGTGCAGGGAGGCGAGGATGCAGCCACTTCCCATTTTCCTTCTTCCCATATTCAAATGTTAATACGACACTGTGTATGACATTCACTCGTACTTATAAGAATGCCACTTATCTCTCCGAAAATGAGTAGACATCTTAAACAATTTCAACTGTATTTCCTTATATGCATGTCTGTCTTGCTTGTTCTTCCCACTAAATTATTACAGTTACTTTGTCAATATGCTTATCAAACTCGAAATTAAAATGAAAATATCTCTGACCTCATGGGGGCTCCAGTGGCTAAGTAAGTAGTGAGTTAAGACTCAAGTAATGCCAAGCAAGTGTCGGTGACACCGGGATCAGATGGGTGGTCACTTGAGCAAAACACGACAACCCTAGCTCAAAATACAGGACGCTGCACAGTGTCGACCAGCAATGGCATGGTTGTAAACTGTTCTGTATTTGTGTAATATTGTGTATTTGTATATGTATTTCTGCATGTATTTATGTATGTACATATTTATAATTATGTATTTATGTATGTACATATTTATAATTATGTATATTATGTATGTACATATTTATAATTATGTATTTATGTATGTATGTATGTTTGCCATTGTAAACCAAAGTGACCTTCTTTGACAAATAAAAGTGTAATTTATTTATACTTTGTCGTCCAGTGGGCCTTTGGTGTGACACTGTGGGAGATGATGACTATGGGTCAACAACCGTACGCCGAGGTCGACCCGTTTGAGATGACCGCCTACCTGCAAGAAGGTTACCGGATCGCAAAGCCACACAACTGTCCGGATGAACTGTGAGTTTTCCAAGAAGTGCGATATGTGAGGCATCGTGGGGAAATCAGGCGCTCGTCAAAATATTGAGATCCGAGAAATCGGTCCTTTTGGGCCAGTTTGGAAATTTTGGCTCAACACCTTTTATGTTCATTCAAAAACACTGTTATGTGTGGATTTTATGGAAAAAACGTTGATTAAAGGCACAACTAATTTAAATTTGCAGTTTCCAAGGACTCTTAAGCTATGGAAGTCACCAAACTTTGACGGCCATTTTCTTGCTAATTTTACCTCTGAAATCAGGTGACCCCTCCTCCTTCAATCGCGAATATCTTGACTTCTATTCAAGATAAATAGATATTTTTCTCATATTAAGCAAGGAAATTGAACTACCTTTAAGATAATACCAATTACTCCATATGCCCAAAAATTGACGATCGTCTGATTCCAGTGCGTTGTGACACATATGTCAGGCATGCTGACAAAATGAGTTACTTCTCACAATCCACAAATGCAGATATTGGCCAACAATCTAGGGACAAATTTTAGGTTTTCTGTTGATGCAACAATCTTTAAATACTTAATGCCTTTTGTTATTTCATGCTTACAAATTGTAAAATCTTAACCTAACAGCATGATAATGTATCTCTTTTCATAGGGCTCGAGTCCGAGAAGTAACTCATTTTGTCAGCACGCTTCACATATTATGAAAGTGGCATATTTCTCACTTGGGTATTAACAGAGAGAAAGACAAATGAATAGTAGAAAAAAAAACCCAGGTAAATTGTGAGGGGGGTTGAGGAAGGGGGGGGGGGGCTGGATTGTTGCTAACGGGAAAGCTTATATTGACTTGAGGGGTTAATTTGATCACCAAGCTTTTTTTCCTTCCACAAAAAACAACTTTTACTTCTGTTACCATCATCATCATCATCATCTTTGCCTTTCTCACCCTTGATCAGGATATAGGCCACGAACAAACACTTTCCACCTTTCCCTATCCTGGACTAGTCGCCTGATGTTACTCCACGTCTTCCCACTTTTCTGTACATCCATTTCCGTGACTGTTCTCCAGGTTCCACGTGGTCTTCCCCTTGATCTTTTACCGTTCTGCTACCATGGTTTACTGAAAATGTTGCCATTCGTCTGTCTTGCACCCAGCCATCAGATACGTACCCTGTAGCTGGAGAGAGAGAACACTTACCTAGAGTGTCCAATGGTTTTCTTTGTTTGGGCAGTTTGTTAGCTCAGATTAGTTTGTATCATGCTGGACTACAGATTAGATGGCTCTGGTTTGAATGTCAGACTGGGCGTTCTTGAACTCGTGTCGTGTTGTTGAGTTTTCATGGCTCTCTCAACCCATTTGGCTTGTTCCTGTCGGAGAGGGATGCTAAATTTGGAGGTCCCACCTCTTAAATGACGCAATCTAATTAGTGTTTAGATAGGGACGTAGAAGCGATTCACTTTCTACTTCCTATTTTATTTTTCTTTGTTTCAGGTTCTCCCTGATGGCCTGCTGCTGGGCATTAGCTCCCGATGACCGGCCAAAGTTCACACAACTGCTGACCTACCTGCAAAACTTCTACATGGCGCTGGGCAGATACATCTGAGTTTTCCTCTCCTAACGCTCTGGAACATATGGTTGCTTTTAAGCACAAGGGGGGCTATCCCGAAAAAATGCTGTTTTGAGAAAATCGAAGGTGAAGGTTTTGCCCCTTGTTCAGTTTCTTTAAAAGACAAGGAGGGTTTTCTCTATAACCAAGCTAATATGCACACCAGTGAAACCAAACTTCCCCTATTGGTGGGCCAATGCCCACTTTTGGTGTTGGTCAAGATTTCTAGAAAACCCCGAAATCTGGGCTAGCCGGCTTGTCCTAAAAAGCGACCATATTAGAGTCATTATCTCTTTACCACAGATGTATTGAATTTGTCAGTCTCACTCCTCCTAGAAACATCGTATTTGTCCACATTGAGTTCAAGATATAATATATTGGACTGTAAAAATTCCAGACTCATTTCATTTTTTGGGGGGGGGGGGATGTTCGAAGTTCAAGTCAATCTGAGTAGTCTTTTCCAAACTGGAGTTTGAGTTATCAGCCTGCGTCCTCGAGAAATGTTTGACAGTCTTTGGAGAGAGAGGATTCTTTCCTGTTATCAAATGTGTGTGGAGTTTTGTTAATATGGATGGTCAATAAGTTCTTAACCCCAGTTACCAACTGGTGGGACAGCTATTACAGCTCTGTAATCAGTAAGATAATTATATAATGTCATGTGCCCTCCCCAGACTAGAATACATGCATGGACTGTTCAGCGTAAAACTCTTGTCACACATGACTTTTCAAAACGGTGTATGGCGGTGTCTTACTCTGAGCAGTCAATATACGGTATAGCACGCAAACGTCGAACTCAGAAAACTCAAAATCAGGCATCCGTCGAACTGTGCCTGTTGTCCCATTTTTTTCTTCTTCTTTATCTTTGTAAGACATCCATCCCTCAAACTACGGATCCCTCAAACTACCGAGGCCAGTCCAGACGAAATCGAGCTATCCAAGTTATTCTGTATATCCTTTTTAGAAATAGTACTTTGCCACTGTGGTATTTGAGAGAACTCATGTTAGCACCTAGAACCTAAAAAAAATAATCATCATACTTATTGTAGCAGAGCCTCCATTACGTCAGCTGTAACCATCAAGAATGTATTATACACTACAGCAGTCCTGAAAAATGTTTGAAATGACAATGTACGATCCATCTCTTTCTGAGGACTTTCCAGCGCATCCCAGTGATGTGACTAAGTTGTCATGTGGTATGAAGAATCAAACTGACTCCGACCAAAGCTAGGCAGATCAAACGAGGTTTTCGATGAGGTCATAGCTGTCTGAAGATTGAAAATATACTAAAGTTACAGCACTAACCCTTGCCAGCAGACAACAGGAGTGTCAGATTACATGAGGGAAAGTGTGAATTTTCTCGATTTTTACTGCTTTATTTATTCATAAAGGTCCCTTTCAAACATTTGCACTTGGGCTGATTTACTAGGCGTGCATTTCTTGATCAGCTTACATTTTCAGGAGGAATCTTTTTTTTCTTCTTCAAATTCGGGATGTCTAGAAATGCCCTACATTCTGGAAGTATTTTTCTTGCACATTTTCTACGAATTCTGTCATACACAATCATGTTAGCATTTCTTTTTTTTGTTTCTAATCCAGTACATTTGGAAATATTTTTTCATTTGTGAAGAGGGAAGCAAGAATGCTGTGCAGATAATTTAAAATAGGCCTGAAACTAGCCCAAGGTAATAAGTTTGACAGAATTAATCGTAAGATTTAAATGGTATGAAAGAAAGTGAGATATACAACAAAAAAAAGCTGTGTTTGTAAAAGATGATTGGAATGTGGACAAGTAGAAATCAGAGGGGGCAACAGGGAGGTGTGAGAATAAAGAGGACGTGTGAAGGTTCCCGCTACCAAGTGTCCGCAGTGCAAGAGAGTGGTGCTTCTTTTTCGTAGTTGTGTTTGGTTAATATAATTGTGAATGAGGTGATGTGTTTTATGAATATTTTTACCACACTGTTCCGGTTCCAGTAGCTCAGAAGGAGAATACAAAGAGACCCACCCACATAGTGAACTGCTGGTACCCACCAAGTAGGCATAAATAATTTGTGCATATATTATATGAGGAGTCCACTTAAAAAATGGGCATAGTCACAAACTGGAAATTGTGTGGGTGTCAATTTTGGGCATAGTCACTAACTGAAAATTGTGTGGGTGTCAATTTTGGGCATAGTCACTAACTGAAAATTGTGTGGGTGTCAATTTTGGGCATAGTCACTAACTGAAAATTGTGTGGGTGTCAATTTTAAAAGCTTGTGGACTCATATCTTCATATTTGTTTGATTGGTGGTTTATTTCATATGTTTGTTGGACGGGAAATCTAACAACATTTGTCAACCAACAGCCGAACAGAAATACTGTTATGAGTCAACAAGTGTTTAAATTGATACCAACACGATTTTCAGTTTGTGACTATGGATCCGTTTTTTCAGTGGACGCCTCATATGTAGACAGGAAAATGTGGTGCTGTTCTGTACATTGAAGATAAATTGTTTAAGGCAGAAAATGTCTACGTCCACCGATGTACAAGAAGTGACGTGAGCATTCAAACATGGAACTTTTGTTCTTGGGGAAAGGGTGTGGGAAGGTGAGAATGGTGGTTGAGGTTGTTCTTGGGGAAAGGGTGTGGGAAGGTGAGAATGGTGGTTAAGGTTGTTCTTGGGGAAAGGGTGTGGGAAGGTGAGAATGGTGGTTGAGGTTGTTCTTGGGGAAAGGGTGTGGGAAGGTGAGAATGGTGGTTGGAGGATGTCCTGTAGGCTCAGCCGTTGAAGCCTCGCTGATGGTATATTATGGATGTTAAGAGTTATCAGTGTCATAGCCAGGTTTCATTGATTGCAGTTAAATGTAAAGAATTTGATATTCGGCTGGAAGAAAAAACGGGATTGTCGAGCGCTTGCACATACAAATCATGAATGTACTTGTATTGATTGAGTGAAAATCTGACTTGTACATTGAATTACAGAGATAAGATTCACAATGTAGAGTAATGTTTTTTTCTTTCTGAATATACATTTTTAAGGTCTTTTGCATGTGCCTGAGCACTTTTGTTTGTGTATTTAAGATGATCTAGGCAATTGTGTATAAGTCATGTTTTCTCTGTGTGTGCATTCACTTTTTACATCTGTCTGTGTGTGAGTATGTGCGAGTGTTTGTGTGTATGTGTGTTCAATCTCTGAAATATGCAATATTACATGTACTCTTTGTAGAAGCATTATATGCAATGTGGAGGAGACCATATGAAGAAAGTGAGCTACAAAAAAGTGATTGTGAATGTCATTAAAATTAATCATTGGAAAGTATGAATTTAAACGAAAACAAAAAAACTGAGAACTTTATTTATCTCAGTATTTCTGTGGGTAAATCTTCAATAGTTAGTTGGGTTTTTTTTCCCCCATTTACAGTAAATGAATGCTTTTGAAAGAGTTTCTGTAAGTTTTCTTTGCTATCAAACAGTCTTGCTTCTTCTTTTTGCTGAATTTGGCCCTTTCATCGATCTGCTGCTTGGTACAAGATGTACTACTTATTACAACCAGATTCATGCTATTATCTTGAGATTTCAAACGTTACCTACGATCTGCTTTGTCTTCTCTAAATTTTTTTAATGGTAGCAAAATGGTAACAGAGTAATAGTGTTCTTTTTCTTCATCTTCTCAGAATCTGTCTTTCTCATTTAAGTCTTAGAAGAAATGGAACCCTCATTTTCAAAACTGATCACACTACGAAACACATAATTATTTATCTCTATTGTTAAAATCTTTATTTAGTTCCCCCCATCCCCACTGTTTTGGGAGGGTATGTGTCTGAATTACGTTTGTAAAAAAAAAGGGTACAGCTTACGAGTTTGACATGACCTGAAAATTTGAAAACTTTTACGAGGATAGAATAAAAACATGCAATACCACTGTATGGTCATTTTTATGTTGTACTGGTACCAGTTCTCAAGAATTGTCCAAAATGACCGTTGTTCTTTTGATCTATGCTGCCTGTAAGTATTATTTCTAAACACTGAATAGTTTTCCTTTACGAGTGATGTCCTTGCTTGATGAATTGTTCGTGTTCGCTTCGTTGTGTGGGAACTTATGCCTGTTGTGTTTGACGTTAAACTTGCAGATGCGATAACAGTATTTTTATAGCTTACAACAGTTTGTAGTGTACATTACAATATCATTTTGCTTTTGTATTGTAACGATGAATATGTTATATTATTATGGCTGCTGATGTTTGTTTTGTTTACTTGAAATGGACCCATAGATCTGATCATTTATTCTTGTTTGTGAATAGCTATCATGTTTATAAACCCCTTTGCAAAATGTCTAACCTTTGTGAAAGTAATCGTATGCTACATACATACATACATACATTTATTTATGTCGTCTTTTGTTGTTGCGCATGAGTTGTTTTTTTGTACGTCTGAATGAATGACAGATGAATGCTCTGTTGTTGTTGTTTGTTTTGTTTTTTCACTCATAGATAATTGGGACAGTTTTTAACAGTTTGAAATCCAGTTTGAATGCAATGATCTGTTAATGGATCTTTTTGATAAATGTTTATTCAAAGTTGTTTTTGTTATAGGAACCATGTAAGAATAGAATACCTAGAGCATGCATGCAGAGTCTTTGTTCTAGTGGGCAAAGTTTTGAAATACAGTAGGCTACTTGGCCAATGTTATTCGGTACCAGTCATTTTATTCAATTTATAAGCTGTTGAAATAGTAGGCTAATAATTATTATTGTACAGAATATTATGGACTTGTGGGGTTTTTTTGTTAACGAGAAGCAAGTCGCACCTAGTGACATAACACTGTGCTGCCATATGCTTACATAACGCCTTTTTTTTCTTTTTTTTTTCTTTTTGGTGCCAATTCTTTTAATTTGCTAAATCGAAAGACTAATCAGGTAACCTACTTGTGTGAATAAATGAAAGTGAAACTGTGACTTGGTTTTGTATAAATTAGAATTCAAATTTCGGACGAACACCTTTTTTGAATGGTTACGCTGACCCAAAAAAAGCCTCATTATCTTGAACTTGCTGTGAATTATTTTTAAAAGGCGTTTTGTCAGCTTACGGCAGTGTGGGTGTCCGACTACAGCCTAGATTTAAAATGTTGTTATCGTGGAACAGATTCCTAATCTTTTACGAGTGAAACAGAAACAAATTCTTCCTTCTTATAGTCCTACAATGAGTCAACATCCTGCTATTCTGAGTTGAGAGTGACATAAACAAAGGGCTGTCACACAAGGTCAGGTCACAAATTATTGATGAAGATATTGTTTGTCTTCGGGTAATTGGTGTTGAAATGATTGCGCCCCCGTGCCCCCCCCCCCTTCCTTTCCCCAACATCCACATGTAGTCCTTCATTGTAGATAGATGTACACAAATATGGTCTTACTCATACCCCCCACCCCCCACCCCCCATACCTCTACTCCCATCAAACATCATTGCCCCTATGAACCCCTACTCTTTTGTCGTCTTCGAGTTGCCATTTTTACCTCTGTATTAAAAGTTCATTATTATTAACCACATCTGTAATAATAAGAAATTGGCTATGCACATTTCGTACACATATTTTATTTGAGTGATCAATTCATGTACTATCAATTAGATCGACCCTTTAGAGCTGTTTACATAGTGCGGATGAGTGAGACAGAGTGAGCGTGTTTCTGTCAGGGTGTGTTCGGTTAGAATCAGGCTGGAGTATGATGATGTTGTGTGTTCTGTGTTCGGTTAGAATCAGGCTGGAGTATGATGATGTTGTGTGTTCTGTGTTCGGTTAGAATCAGGCTGGAGTATGATGATGTTGCGTGTTCATACGACTGGGTCATGTGCTTGGTTTGACTTGTTTTTTTTGAAAATGTAAAAGAATTGCGGACTCTCATTTAGGCCACTTTAAGTTTAATATCCCCTTCATGACACAGGGTCAGTTTGTGCTTCACTGGGCAGTTTTTGATCCCCATGGACACAAACAAAGTAGCGCTAGATTTGGTGGTCACTTTCCTATATTTAGACCTGGTTTTCAAATACTGCATGCTGAGTGTGTCTAAAAGAAACAATTTTCTTTTTATGGAAAAATTATTCCTGAGTGCGAATCTGAGATTAATTTTACAAAATATGTCTAATAGAAACAGTATGCAGAGTACAGCCTATGACGAAGGGCGCTGGTCATCATGGTCCTTGTGTTGCGCAAGGCATGATGAACTCTGCATGTCACAGCAACTTCTTGGCTCATTCACTGCATAAGAAAAAATGACGAACGGCTTAAGTCATATTGGTCTCGAAGGGGTTAAGGGGCTTTGTGTTTTGCGTGGCTGCACTAACTTCTCTACTCCCTTAGAGTAGGATCAAGACATTGATTATAGTATTGTAGTCAATATTTTAATATTTTACACCACCATTGACACAATTTAGACCATTTAGAGGCAGACTGCCTCAACTCTGCCTGCCAGGGTAGCGCTAGATAAGTAGGACAGATGCGGTGAATGAATTGAATATATCCCTGCAGGAAGAAGGAGATTTTTCTGTAAAATATTATCTTCCCCATTTTAGAATGGAACTTGCATCTCTTGCTTGTGAGGTGATGAAAAAGGGCCTAGGAACTACACTGCAGACACTGGTGCTGGTACAGAGTGCGACTCTCATTTGTAGGTGTAATTGTAGACTTGGATTTACCGCGATTTTTTGTTTTGTTTTGTAGATACAGATGTGTCTTCTTGAATATAGAATGCGGAATGTGAAATGTGTGTGTCAGTGACAGGCTTCAAGATGTAGTAAGTGTAAGTGTGTCAGAGGCTCCATTTTATGGCCACTGCCTCACGACGTAATGTTGTGTATTTGTGTCTGTGTGTATTTTATATGCACTTTGACTCCACTACGACTATGCATGGTGTGTCCGTTGAAGTCGGTGTGTGTCTGTCCTGTTTTGGGTGTGTTTACAGAGTTAGGTGTGTAGCCGATCCTGCTGTAAAACCATCTTTGCCATATTATTATTATCATAATGGAAGAGAACATAATACATCATTAAAGCAGGAACATTATGGTCATAGTTTCCCGTAGAGATACAAGGTGGTTTAAAAAAGCAACTGATATCATGATTTCCATAATGCATGAATAATGGATATCTCCTAAAGCTGAAGCTGTAACATTTGGCACTTGATGCACGTTTTGTTCTAGTTTAGGAAGTGTTGAAAGTTTGAGGAAGGTAACAACAATTTCCGTAGAGTTGCAAACCTGTAGAATTTTTTTACTTTTCCCCGCAGCTTGTAATAATCTCAGATAGGACAGTTAGAAACCATATAAAGAACTACAGTGAACGAATGAAAGCGAGCGAAGGAGAGAGGGAGAGCAGGACGGAGGAAAAATAGTGATGGAGTGAGGATGAAAAGCACAGATGAAGAGAAGGAAACAAAAAGAGGAGAAAGGAACAAAAGTGAAGGAGGGAAGAAAAAAAGACTAATGAGAGAGAGAGAGAGAGAGAGAGAGAGAGAGAGAGAGAGAGAGAGAGAGTAAAGGAATGTTGTAAAAGAAAAGGATGTTAATCCTTTGATCAATTGTATGACAATCACTGCCAAATATATATGGAAGTTTCATCAAGCCATGGCCTCGCACAGATTGCCAAAGGTTTTTTTTTTTAATTTTGTAATTGAACTGGCCACAAACGTAATTACCGATATGCTCTCCACTTCTAGCCAGGCTGGACTGTAGAATGTTATGTCACAGCACGGGTCCTGTCAAGCGGGGAATTTTTCTCAAATCGCTTCCTCTTTCATTTGCGGTACTAGTGTCTAATGTGGACTTTCTTTAGGATATCAATGCTCTATTCGAAATTTGCCTGATTCGTTGATAAATTCATCTGTTTTATTTTCCCCGTCCAGTCTGAGCATGACATTTCTTGGTCAAAAACCTAGCTGCTTTAACTTCACATTTCAAATTTTGCCAAGATGGATCCTTTTTTAAAAGCCTCAGTGGCTCAGGTAACTTTCATTTATACATGATTTATATTATTAATATTATAAATGTTTAAAATAGGTACGAAAGCTTTCCCTGAAAAAAAACACCTGTTGTCTTAGAACACTTGCGTTGATTACTGCACTTCACCGATGTCAATGAACTCTGCACCTGCCAGGACCCATCTACTCAATTCAAAATTGTACATTTAATTGATCTTTGAAAAGATGATTACCTATTTACCCGGAATCATACCCTTTTTATTAGGGTATCGAGGTTACTCATTGAAGAGAGAGCTGTGGATTAAGAGGTTAAGCGATGTGAGGAAAAGAGAAGTGTTTTGAGTCAAAGTAAAGTTACGTTTGAAAAGTCTATTCTGTGCCAGACCATATTTGGCAGGATGCCTAAATAAAAATAAATAGGCTACATGTAAAGTTTATGATATATATAATACATTATATCGCTAGCATTGCTCATACTCATTCTGTGAGTTGCATAAGAGAAAGCATTGTTTAGAACTGTCTTTAGAAATGCTACATCAGTTAAGTTATTTATATATATTTTATATTGATACAATATTATTGTTTTGCCGGTCTTCCTAGCTTCACTTTTTGATTTTGATGTAAAATAAGATGCATCTAAAGTTATTAATGAGCTTTCTGAAAACAGGAAGGCCTTCCATCTGAATGAAGGTAGAAATAAAATCAAAGTTTTTTTCCTGTATTACGTTGTGTTACTCTAACTCTTAAAAAAACTTTTACAGTTACATGCAGTAAAAATGTTAATTGTATAAATGTCAGAAACTCGGTTATTGTTTCTTTTCTCTTCCAAGTCTCTCTCTTTTTTTTTCGACTTGATCCGCAGTGGTGGAGAACATATCCTTAGTTACAGTTACACTCATATTATGTTAGTACTGAATCCTAATTTATTCATTTTCACTTTGTGTGCAAGAGGAGAGAGATGAGTGGGATTTTTTTTTATTCACGATGCACATGTGGGGCATACTACTGCCCGTATCCCTTTGCAGTCTACGATTATTAAATGAAATAGAACAAATGAACAGAATGTCTTGGGTTTTCTTTTAGACTTTTTGTTTCTTATGACTGTTGTAAGTGTACTTTACTTTACTTTACTTTTCCGATCCAGCGGCCATCTGGGTTCTAGCCCTTTAGCCAGATTGTAAGTGTATGAAAACTAATGTGTGACTCATCGGTGTCCTTTAGTGTGCTCTTACTCTTACTGCTTTTGTTGCTGTTGTTGATGTTGTAAGGTGCAGAAATTATTGTCCCAATCTGTTGCTTGTAAATGAGACCACCGGAAAGACTGAATTCATTATAATAATTATAAGGATGATTAATACAAATCATTATCAATATTATTCGTCGTAGACAAAAAAAAGTTGCTGGTCGTTCATAGGATTTCTGATCAAAGTATGGTTTTGAGGTTACGGTTTTTGCCTCTCACTTTCAGTCGTTCAAGAAGTTCTAGATTTAAAACCTGACAGCAACAAGAAAATTTTCTTCTCTAAAATTTTCTTTCACCCCCTTTCCTCCTCTCTAACCATGTTCTGACCTCTGCTTTCGTCTCCACTTTCTGCCCTCTCACCACCCCCCCAACCCTTTTCTCCTCCTCTGGGCTCCTGACTCTTTTTGCAGCCTTTCTACTGCTGTTCCTTGGCTCCATCTACCATTCTCTTTCAGGTATTTCAGACACACCCCTGATCTTAGAGTTGGTAAGATCTGACACAAGGCCTCTCATTGAAAATTGATGAAAGATGACACCTACAAAATTACAAAGCACCTGGTAATAAACAAGATGTAATCTCAATTTCAGTTAGTAGCCTATAATTCTGAAGCTGTACACCACTAGCTCAGGACCTAAATATCTCTTCTTAAATGAATTCATCTTGGGATTTAGCACCAAATTGTTGACTTTACGCAAGGTTAAGGTAAAAAACGGGACCAGAGTGAGGTGTTGACTGTAAGCAAGAGTTGACTTTATCAGGATTCCACTATATATATATGTTATTACTGATCATTATGCTGAAAACAATAAAAGGGAAATTAGTTATCATCAACAAAGGCAGTGTTCATCATTATGTCAAAAATACTTTTTCACCTCACGAAAGTGTAATATTACATTAGGTCAAGACCCCCCCCCCCCCTTTCTTACACTTTTCTTACAGGAGCCAAAGACCCTCCCCCCCCCCTCTCAGGCGTAAGATTATATTATTTGAACGGCCCCTAAGGACCCACACTTTTCACCAAGAGAATTAGAATAGGTTTGTTCGCTTTTTAGTTTTAGTAACAGTCTGGCACTTGCAACACAATAAGGTCATATAAGTGCCGAAGAATAGAGGTGTTACAAGAGAGTAACAAACAATAAAAAGAAGGAGGAGAGATTAGGACAATAGATGTTTGATCGGAAAGAAGAAGCAAACCACACCAGAGCACCCGCTAACCACCCACTTTGTTCGTTTGTTTGTTTGAGTAAAGAGAAACACATCAACACAATATAATGGTCACTCAGAGCTGGGAATTAGTAAGACAGACAGACAGACAGACAGACAGACAGACACAACATAGGGAAAGTAAAGAAGTAGGACCAACCATCGGCGCCCTCCAACCACTTGCGGAATTAGATGGAAATAACACCGAAAGTTTCGAATAAAAGTAAAAACTCAAAACAAAAAAAATTCTGGAAGGTAGTTTCAGCTTTATATTTTTCATAAGACATTGAAAAAGTGTCCACCATACATCACAAATCACACTAATAATACCTGTACTGATCACAATGAAAGTAGAAAAAGGGACCTTTCACAACACTGTGCTGAATGAAATCATTGTTACACTACCTGTCCCCGTGGTTTTATGCACCCCGCATAATTTTGAAAAATTTGATAATTTTTTGCATAATTTCTGATTATATTTTCCTTTATCATTCTTTGTTGAAATTAACAGAATCGCTAATTTCACATTTTTTGGGCACAGTCTGCATAATTTCAGAATTTTTCTTGCATAAAACGACGGGGACAGTACTACTAACTTACTCACATCACGAGTGTCCTTTCATTGAGAGAATCACAAACAATCATTCCAACAACACTTAGTTGACTTACTGACCGGCATGCATACCTCTTTTTCCTTGAAAACTTGAAAACTCAAGTGTTCAGTCTGGATCAAGATTTTAATAAAACAAACAAAAATCACTGATCTAATGATGGCCATGCAGTAGTAGAGAGAAAAGAGAAAAGACAAGACAGACAGACAAAAGCAACAGAAGGAAACTGTCCCCGCGGTTTTATGCAAAAAAAATTCTGAAATTATGCAAACTGAGCCTAAAAATGTGAAATTATGAGATTCTGTTAATTTTAACAAAGAATGATAAAGGAAAATAATCACAAATTATGCAAAAAATGTTCAAATTTTGCTAAATTATGTGGGGTGCACAAAACCACGGGGACAGAGAAAAGGAAAGAAGAGACAAGGGAGGGGCCTACCTAAGTGGCTCCTCCAGCAACCAGCACTTTTAGACAAAAACATCATATATTATGATCTCTCACATAAAAAAACGGTGACCTCACACACCGTATTTATTAAATTATTATGTCTACAAAACTTTATGTATAAACTTTTCACAACAAAAATGCCATTCTCTCTAAATGCTTTTGGTAATAATATGCAGTAGACAAACACTTGAGCAAATATAAAGACAGGGAACAGCAAAAGCTTAATGTTCAGCTGACAACATGCTGGACTGCAGCGTGGATGACATTGGCTCGAATCTACAAAGGGAACATTAATTTGCTAAAAACAGTTCTCAAGACTTGATCCATTTGGCTCTGTGCTATGGGAGACAGAAGTTATTCCCATGTCCCAGCTTTTAAATAACTGCACAGTGTTTATAGAGAAACAACACCTGTGCTATGCAATGGGTATTATGACTATTAAATAATTATTCATGACAAATGATTTTTTTTCACTATCAACTATATGTGAGGCAGCGAGGCGAAATCAGGCGCTCGTCAAAATACAGAAATCAGAGAAACAGGCATTTTTCCGTCAGTTTGGACATTTATTCGAATTTATGTTTTTTGGCTCAACACCTTGTATGTTCATTCAGAAACACTTTTATGTGTGGATTTTATGGGAAAACGTTGATTAAAGGCATAAAAAATATAAATTTGCAGTTTCCAAGGACTTTTGAGCTATGGAAGCCACCAAACTTTGGCGGCCATTTTCTCGCTAATTTTACTTTTACAAATAGACGACCCCATCTCCTTCAATCGCAAATATCTCGACTTCTATTCAAGATAAGTTGATATTTTTTTCATCCAAAGCAAAAGCAAATGAACAACCTTCAAGATAATACCAACAACTCCATACGTCCCAAAACTGACGAGCGCCTGATTTCACTGCGTTGTGACACACATATATGTATTATATATTATAATTATAACAAAATCAAGCAAAATGTGTGGGAAAACATGAGACAAACCTATTGTTTTCCAATATTGAAGCTCATGAAATTTTGGCCAAAATGTTTTCATTGCCATCAGAAAATTTCAAACTCAAAGCTAATGACCTGAACCCTACCTGGGGAGACTCACACTAACAGTAACATGTTATGTTAAGTGTCAACTGACACTAGGTTACCATGACACCAGCCTGATTTGTTGAAGAATAGACCACAGGGATAAAAGAAACACAGAAAAGACATGAAAGGACAGGAAAACATCAGAATCAGAGTGCCCTCTTGTCAACTGCAAAACAAATGACAAGTGAGATTTTGAAGCTTACTCAGAAGGGTAAGATTTTAGGCTGGAATACTTATTTTAGACGATAAAACAAAAAGTCGAAACAGGACAATGATCTGATGGTAGATTTAAATCAAGTGTAGCATCTCAGCCTTATTGCAACACACTCAAAAGACATGTTAATATTTATATATAATATATATGTCATGTATAATTTTAAACAAAAAGTAGGGTGTGAACCGTCACACTAGACTTGGAACCACAAAATGCGTACAGTGTAACATAAAATTAACACTTTGCAGTCACACAGCTAGTAGTACTAAATACCCCCATCTGGTCACCCAGCCAGTAGAGTAGAGTGACTGCATGCAACTGACTTCTTGAGGGCCTGTCACAGAACTGCACCGAGTGACTAGAACCGATAATTTTCAGCATCGCATTATTGCGACAAGAGACCACAAAGTATTCACGAAACTCCAAAAACTTTTGATAACAGTAAAGAATCATCTCCAAAGACTCAAATAAAACAAAAGTGTATTTCTCACTATAGTGCAATCAAAAATTTGTGGCGCACTTTTTTCTCAAATTTCTCTTTAAAGGGTGAATCACTGTCACCCATACTTGGCACAGCAGTTTGTATCAATTTTTCTCAACTTAATCCTATTTTTCCACAACAATTGAGACTAGATTAAAAAACTTTTCTTCATAAAATTTATATAAAATACTATAAATGTTCATTAAACCGAAATTGGGATTGTTCACAGCACTTCCTGTTTCTCACACACATTTTGCATACTCATATATGGCCAGCGTCACAGCTCACCAATGATACTTTTTAGTGGTAAAACTTGTCAGAAAAAATTGATTTTATATATAGTGAGCACATTTTTTGCACTTACTTAAGGTTCTCAAAACATTCGTTCAATAGGCATAATGTCGCGATCAGGAAAAAATTACAGACCATTTTAAAAGCGATATTGCCCCCAGCTGTAACTGTAAACTTTTAAAAATCAGTAGAAACTACCCACTTGGACTTTTTATTAGTATTTATTAAGGAATTTTCTAGAATACAATGTACAGGTGCCTGAAAAATATTCATCTGTTTGCATAAATAGATAATATAAGTCATTGTGCAAAATTTGGAGAATCTATGTTCGATAGTAAAGGAGATATCTGACAATGAGTTGCGCCACACATTTTTGACAGCACTTTAAGTAAACTCATATGTTAGCAATTTACTACAGATCTAAACTGTCCGAATGCTCTCACACATCATGTAAACCTTTCACTTTCAGGATCTCGAC